ATATATATATTAGGGATACAACGGATGTAAAATTATTGGATATCGAATATCGGATTCTGGGCAGAATATAATTAAATATCTAATATCCGATCGGATATCCGAAAAGACAATTTCTTCGAGTCGGATATCCGAATTCTGAGTGTTCTAAAAAAAATTCTATAAAGAAAAAGATTGTAATTTTGAAAGAATGTATAAGATATTACAGCATCATAAATATGCATACTTTCTAGAACATTTGTATAATAAAAAATTGACAATTTAATGATATTAAATTTTAAATCGGATATGCTATTCCTGGATGTTTGCTACGTATATCACTATATCTTTCGTATGATCGCGTATCAATCGCATATAATCAGGGAAAACACTTCGCAATATACTAGTTGGATTGTCTTTGTCTTGACGCTACGGATTTCTCGTTATCGAAATCGTGTTACCTGAATGGATTCACCAATTTCTCCGTCACGTAATCGTCGCAGAAGGAATTTTCGAAAGATAGGTAGAAAAAGTAGTTGGCCTCAATTACATCTTTAAAACAATCTTTGTTGTAGCAGTTAAATTTGCCACATCTGCCGTAAACATCGACGTCTATGTGCTTTGACAGTTCCTTCACATATTCCAGTCGGCCACTTTTAGCATAGCAGTTGCTTACCAACCAAGATACCGACTTGCTTTTATTCCTGATGGTGTCCAATATTGCAGATGACACTTCTTTCGCATCTCTTGCATCTACGAAAAGTGATTAGTTCTTGCGTACTCGAGGTAGCTTTATATGATGAGAAATATATAGAGATTCTACAAACAGTGTGATAAAAAAAAATTGGAGCGCGATTTCGAATCTGTAGGTTGTAATAGAAGAAGACGTTCAAAACAATATGCCATGCTTGATTTTGCTTGATCGAGTCTGAATTTCATTTAATTGAAATTTGAAGTTAGCCAATTTTTTGCTATAAAAATTATATAAAAAAATATAAATGATGAAATATAAATATAAATGAGGGGAAAAAGGGACTTGGAGTGGTTCTATCGTGTTCCTAAATTTTACTAAGATATCATTTATAAAAAATAAAGAGACTTGATTGACTTAAAACAGTCGATTTTGCGACAATAAATTTGTTTTATTGAAAAATAAATTAAAAATGAAATATATTGAAAAAAATTGATTTGTTTACGCAGACGTATTGCTGTCACTCTTATCCAAAAGTCAATAGAGTCAGCGATCATGGCGTCAAATTTTTTTTCCTTGTAGCGCTCTTTTAAAGGCAATGTTACTTGGTAAAAACCCTTATCTTGTTCATACGATTCGGTTAACACACGAAAATATTCAATGTGATTATGCAAAACATAGATTTTCAATGACATGTGGACACTAATGCACTTGAGCTTTTATTATAGTGTCAACCAATTCATAGACATTTGTTCTATTTTTTCAGCATGACATCTTTGAACGCAATTAATTCATTTGTACTAAGCTTCTCTTAAAATGTTCTCGTTCCTCTCCAATCGCTAATATCAAAGCCATTCATATGTATGTATCTGAAGCAAGAAACAATCCTTAGTACAATGTGTAAAACAATTACATTAATTCCTACCTTTGTTGATTTTCATTGAATTAAGTCTTTTGAAAATTTCGGTCAAAAGTTTTTCCTTTAGGATCTAGTGCTTTGATGAAGTTCTTTACAATGTAAGAAGTTTCACGTGAAGCGTTCCTCACAGAGGAATCAGAATTCTTTCTGCCGGGACAAGAGCAATGATTGTCGGGTGATATTCTTCAGTCCTATTTCAAACATTTTTTTTAATGTCTTCTATCACAATTATCCTTCGAAAATCGACTGTTCATGTCATTACTTTTTATAGACTCTATTATATCTTAGTAAAACTTTCCGAGGGGAATACAATGAAGCCGCTCCGAACTTCTCTTCCCTATCATTTTTACATTTTTTGGTAATTTTTATAGTAAAAAATTGGCTAACTTCAAACTTCAATTAAATAAAACTCAGATTCGATAGAGCAAAACCGAGCATAGTATATTGTTTTGGACATCTTCTTCTATTACAATCAACCTTTAGATTCGAAATTGCCAATTGCTCCAACAATTTTTTTTATCGCACTGTGTAATCAGAGTTTGGCGAAAATGGATCAAAAATGACGAATAGAAAGAAATAATAGATATTGCTTTCTCGTATGAACATATATGAAAAAAATATTAAAATATGTGACAGACAATACTCAAAGAAACCGAATTAATCAATTAGCCGAATTGTGCAATTGTAATTTACTAATTTTCTCTTTATCCAAGATCTCGGAGCGATTTCTAATCTCTTTGATACAAATTTGTGTTATCATCTGCTTGTTGCTATCTATTTTTTTCTTTTCTTTGCACTTGTTTTTTGACAATGTACGAAGAATACCACTGGAAAATCAATTAGAAGTTGTGCCCGCTTTCGACAAACTCTAATTATAGGAGGTTCTAGTGAGAAGATACGAATAGACCTTATTTATTTTATGACAGAAAAACTAATTACATTTCGCATAAAAAACATGTAAGTAATGAAAAATATAAAAACAATCAATAAAGAATAAAGCTGTAATCATTTTGCTGTAAAGTATTCCATGTTTTGATTTTAAGAAAAGATTCTGGCTATCTCTCTATCAATATTCGACAGGATCGTTATTTTTTTGATTATAGGGATACTAGAGCAACGGCCGAATTTGATCGATGTCGATAATACAAATTTTTTTAAATTCCAAATTTAAAAGTCGATAATAAGTGACATCTTTGATTTACTTCTTACATTATCGTCCTATCTCACTTATACGCACACATTTGTCTTTATCTAACATATTGCAACGCCATCTCTTGCAAGATAGAACATTTATTTTTAGAAACAATTACTGCTCTGCTTGTATCATTCCGACTTGACTCAGCATTCGTATACACGTAATTTACAAATCGATACAAATCTTTCTTTTTAAACTCTTAATCTTAATGTTTTATACTTAATATTGTTTGTGCATAAAACGCCGGATGTTGAACTGTTGTTTTGCTCATACGATCTTTAAAACTTTTGTATTAAGTATGAAATATCTATGTTAGGTGACGCTCTAAATTGAAAAAGTATAAGTTTTTGATAAATCTGCAGAAAAGAAGAGTAAAACTGCCGCGACAATATAACAATATATGTCAAGATCAAGGTCGTCGATTTACTCTCCTTTTCTGCAATTTTATCAAGTTTTTAACTTTCTTTTCGATTTTAGAAAGTCTACTGCAGCATCTCCCAATTTTGCTTGAATCCAGTAGAAGAATTTTTTTATTTCGTTCAATAAATTCAAAGATTTATCTCGGTCTGCAATGTTTCGACAATTTGGTCACTCCAGCATCCCCTTAAATGCAACTTATATACGATTTATAAGATGCGTTACTATATACGTTACTATTAGGTGTACAACTTTGCTTCCGCCGTTTTCCTATAGATAGCTTTAGCGGTAAGTGGTGGTCGAAATAAATAGATCATAGATGTCATACAATAAACTTGGGCATCTGTCAACATAACCCCATAGAAACATTAGTCGATTTGTGTCTGCATCATAAAG